AAGATACAGAGAGTTATGTAGGTTGGGGTCATAAAATAGATGGGAAAGGAAGTTTTGCCTCCTCATGTATGGTGTTTTGTTGTTTAGTGCTGTGAAGTCAGTTGTGACCCTGTATAGGTTATACAAGGAGTAACTTGTGGGTTTGAACCGCCAATCTTGCGGTTAGCAGTCTAGTGTTTATCCTACAGTGCCACACCAGGACTCCCAGGTATGGTGCTAGTGGTGCACATAAGTTTACAGGCTACATGGCCAAACTTGCGGTCCAGAGCATTGTCCTGCAGTCCACACACTTTTGATGACTATTTAGAAAAAGCAGAATTGCTTACTTTGGCATATTTCATTCTAAATCTGTTAGGCCTCCGTATGATTACTGTTAGCTCTCTTCTTACATCTGTGAGGACATTGACGATGAATTGTGCAATATGTTTTTCTATTTCTCCGATATTCTACCTTCTACCAGAACCAGTTGGCTTCTAGTCAACTCCAACTGATGGAGATTCCACATGTGCCAGAGAACTGTGCTCCAAACGGTCTTTAGTGGCTGCTTTCTGCTTTTGTTTTCCAGAAGTAGAATAACCAGGTCTTTCTTCTAAGGTGCCTGAAGGTGGACTTGAACCTCCAGTTTTGTAGTTATCAGCTGAGTCCTTAACTGTTTGCACTTTCAAGGAACTCCATCTTCTAGCCTACTCTAAAAGTTGATTTCCTCCATTCTTTTTAGGTGATTTCCAGAGATTGTTTTTATGATTTCACATCTCAGATATGTTCACTGAGCAGTTCCCTGGATGCAAAGAAACCCTCCTATCAAGTCCACCCTTCATCACAACCTGCTGTGTTCTCCTTGGTTCGTTTACTAAGTAAAAATTGCTTATTTGCATTAGGTCTCCTTTAACAAATAAACTACTAGGTATTGGCCAATTGTATTTGACGGAGTCCTGGTGTGGAGCTGTGGTGTATACACTGGACACAAGGTCAGTCTGAGAAGCAAAGTTTGCATTTCAAATCCACCAGCCGCTCCTTGGAAACCCTATACAGGGCCACTATGAGTCAGAACTAACTCAACAGCACTTAACAACATCAATTTAGAGAAATGGCTCTTGAAAGAATTTCTGTTCCCACTGTTTTGTGCTTTTTTTTTTTTTTTTTTCTTTCATTAATTTCAGTCTGTCTGTCTGTCTTCCTAGAGTTCTGGTGTGGCGCTGTGGGTTAATGAGCTGGACTTGAGTTAGCTTAGGTATTTAGCATATGAGTTGATTATTATGTTTTGTATTATATTTGCTATTGTGAAGAGGTTTTTTTAGTTTTTTTCCCCTAATATTTTGAGTTTTTAAACTAATATAATAAATACTTACTGAACCTATATATACACATGCTAGTCCCTAGCTAAGCATCAAGGAAGTGGCAGATAAAAAAGTATCTTATAATCTAGGAATAGAGGCAAAATACTTTAATATATATATATAATTTGTATAATTTAAGTATGGATTATTACACTGGACTGCAAAGTCGGTTTGAACTACAAGGTCAGCAGTTCAAGCTCACCAGCCACTCTTTGGAAACCCTCTACAGGGTCATTATGGGTCGGAACAAACTCGATGGTACTCCTCAATTAGAGGGAGAGCATGTTTGACTTTTGAAGGCCTAGAGAGGGTTCTCACAGGAAGTGTTACTCATTAACTGACCAGGGAAAATTCAAAGGCTATGGTCAGTTGGTGTGTAGGCTTTTCAAGCACAGGAAGTACTTAATCGTGTAAGATTAATTAAAAACCTTTCTTTTCTCTTTAATAATGGTAATATTTAAAGTCATGCATTTTCTTCTCTGGGAAATTAAACCAGATGCCATGAAAATTTATATTGAGGTTAAACAGCCTTTCTTTGTCCTTCGTGACTTTAATCAAATGAAGTGAACTCAAGTGCAGTGTTTGTGTGGTTATTTGTAAAGAAGCAAGGCCACAGATGACAGGGCGGACAGATAAAGTGTCACATGTTGTATGGAATTAGGAAAGTCTTACCCAGCCATGGGTTTGGGCTTTGCCACACTGTCACCCTCAATGGAAACCACTTTCAGTGGTCCCTTCCTGAAAGACCCAGTCTACCTCTTATGGGAGAGCCTCCTGGAAAATACTGGACAAATTCTCCAGACTTACTTGGAGCAGAGTGGGAATCTAGGCGAGATATTGAGTGTTCCCTCCCAGTGCCCCAAGCTTCTGTCCCTGAGGATCCTGGAGGCATGAACGAGCCCTGCTCCCCATCACCGTCTCTCCCTGTACTGTTTCTAAGACTGTGCTGAGCATCCCTGTCCACGTGACTTACTGGAATCAGATCTCCATTTCTTACAGCTCTGTATTCTAGAGGTTCAGTCTTCTGCGGCCTCGTTGATGTTCCCATGTCAGTGAGCTTGGGTTAGTTTAAGAAAGAGTGGCTCTCCCTCCTCTCACAGCTGAGAAGGTAGATACAAACACAGGAAAAGTCAGCCTGGTGATGGCAGGGTACTACGGCAAGCAGTGTGTAGGAGCTGTAGCTATTTGGAGAATTTAATTCAGTAAGGAAAACATCCTGCTATAGCAGGAGTGAGCTGTAGCTCTTTTTCAGAAGTGGAAGCCTAGCCCCAGAATTTTAAATGAAAAGGGACAGACTTGTTTGGATTCTGCTGAAACTTTTTGGGTAGGGGAAGGGGAAATTTATAAACAAGTATGACACTCACTTTGGCTCTTGAATAGAAGTGTCATTAAGCTAGGTCATCCCAGCCTGTTGTTGTTAGGTGTCATTGAGTCAATACCAACTTATAGCGACCCTATGCACAACAGAATGAGACACTGCCTGGTCCTGGGCCAACCTCACTGTTGTTGCCACTCTTGAGCCCACTGATGCTGCCACTTTGCCAAGCCATCTTACTGGGGGTCTTCCTCTTTTTCTCTGACCCTCCACCTTACCAAACATGATACCCCTCTTCAGCGACTGGTCTCCCCTGGTCACTGCAAAATTGCTTTTCTTGGGGAGCTTCATAAGGAGCCTTCTACGCTGGAGATGTATTCCCTCTCAGCAAAGCTAGAGCTTCTTGTGTGTTTTCAGTACCTGTATCCATCTAGGTATTGTGATTCCTAGCTCCCAATCTCAGTGATGGTTTCCCTATGTAAAGATGACATACTCTGTTTGGGGAGTGATGTGATTCTGTAGACCCATGTGTTTCCCCTCATTCTCTGTCACCCCCAGGATGATATGGTCTTCTCTAGTCCTGTAGAGTTTAAAGGATTTTGGGTTTTATTAAAGGCCCCATTCCCATCCTCTCCCTTATAGGACCGGCAATTTCAGAGTAAGACTGTTTCTTTCATCATGTGCTTCACCCCAGCCAAACCCAGTCCACCCTCTGGAAGATGACCCATCAGCTCATTGGAATTCAAGGACTGTTGGTACAATAAGTGATTTTTCTAGACCAGCTCCAGCCTCCCTCTCCCATTGTCCTGAGTGTTCCCCTGGCCCTGATGCTCACAGAGAAGCATCCTTCATCTCAGACCCTCAGGGCAGACTGTGTTTAAAATCTAGGCTTCATGTCTAATGAAGCAGGAATTACTTGGTGAATCTAAATTTCTTAAATCTGTACATTCAGAATTATACACTTTCTTGAAAGGATTATTGTGAAGACTAATTGGAAAAATAAAAGTAATAGCTCGTTATAAAAATGTCTGTTTTAAGGGTGAAAAATTAAGAGTGTAGTCTCTAATATGGAATTTAAAAAAAAAGCAGAACACAAAACTAGACTAAAAATTGGGCAGGTATTGACAGGAGAAAGCAAATGGGGGCCACTATAATCTCTAGATTCATCCTGAGTTTAAATTCTCACTCCTCCTCTTACTAAATTTACAATCCAAGGCAAGTTAATTTCTACCTGAAATTCCTCCATGATGCAGATGTAGTAAGTACCTGCCTCAGGAGAGTGCTGTGAGCATTGAATAAAAAGAAGAGAAAAAAAAAAAATGTATGTAAAGTGTTTAGTGCAATGCTTATCCTTTATGTCCCACAAAAGATAGTTAATTGATTTAAATAAAATATAGAAAATGAAAGGAAATTGCTCTAAATATCAAGTTTCTATGTGGTGTAATAAAAAGCAATTTTACTCTTTTTGTTCTTATAATTTTCTGTATTTGTGAAAGTTACTGAAACGAACACATAGGAGTTACATGAAAAATAACACACTAATGAACGGTTCTGTAGGAAAAGCACCAAACTGCAAATCATCAGCAGTTCCAACCCACCAGCCTCTCTACGGGAAAAAGCTGAAGCTCTCTGCTCCCACAAAGATTTACAGCCTCAGACACGCTATTCAGGATCACTATGAGTTGGAGCCCACTCGGCACTTAACAGCAACAATTAGCTTTAAAAGTTTTATCCGCACATTTTGTAAAATTGAGAATTGCCTCATTATAACAATATAACTTCGTTAAAAAGATTTATAAAGTACACTTTTCCAAAAACAATTGTATCTCAAGGATCTTTAATGTTTACTTGTGGTGGAACTGTATTTGTGTTTAGTAAAATGTGCCAAGTACCTACATTGAAATCATTTTGGTTCTTACAATTGAACTCTGCACTGATGTTTCTCGTGCCCAGCAAGGAGACACAGAGGCCTGGTTTGGTCAGCTTTACTGGCGAGTTTTTCCAAACTCTCCATAAACAGTTTATCCCAATTCACGTCATCAGTTCCATATAAAAGAATTAGATGGAAAGAAAAAAAAAAATCTCAATGTACTTCATAAGTTTAACACGTCTCTGGTACAAAAATCCAAGAAAGGTAGCACAAGAGCGAAAGCACCAACTGAGTTTACTTATAAACAAACATGCAGAAATCCTAAACGCTACCCAATGAATACAACATGGCATTATAAGGTATAAAAAGCACTGTACTGAGAACTAAAATTTAAAGGTGAATAAATGCGCAGTAAATCCTGGCCCACCCACCCCTCGAGCACGGGTGAGAGTCAGACCAGGTCTGCCTGCAGACCTCGCTAGTCCTCGGAAATGCTGCTGCGGGCCGAGTGGGCAGTGAGTTCAGCCTCGCGCAGGGCGGTGGCCTCTTCGAGAGCTTCTCGGTACCGGGACGGCCAGGCCTGGGGGTCTTTCTTAAAGACCCTGGCCAGGAACTCCATGATTTGCATCTTGGTGATTTCGTGGCGAGCTCTGGAGCCCCAGAAGAACTCATACTCAGGTGGCTCGACGTGGGGTACACGCTGGTACTTCAGATACTTCTGCTGAACAAACCCCTCAGTGATGAGTCTCCTCACTTCTCCAAAGGTGGGGTGCTTCTTCCACGGCTGCAGCCCGAGGATGCGCAGCACATTCCAGACGGCGCTCTCTCTGGCACCGCGGCCCTTGACGTAGATGAGGCTGAGGATCATCATCAGCAGACCGGTCATGGGCATGCGGTTGTTCAGCGCCACCCGGTCCAGCTCCTCCTGCTGCAGGGCTTTGACCAGCGAAAACTCCATCGTGTGTAGGTTGATCAGCCTCAGGTGCAAGCCGAACACTCGGGTGAGGATGAGGCTGGTGCGCCGGAGGATGCTTCTGCACCACTTCTTGTAGCTACCGATGACATCCCTCACCATGTCTGGGAACCAGATGACCATCTTCTTCTGGTCCTTGACCAGAACGTACCACATGAGCTCGTGAGCCTTCTGCACCAGCTGCGCGGGAGCTGGGGGCGCCAAGCCCGGCTGGGCCTGGACCGTGCACACAGCCTGGTCTTCTTCTGCAGGCTGCTGCAGGGCCTTGGCGTCCCCCTCATCGCTCAGGGCCTGGGGCTGCTGGAGAGGCTGCCCCGCATCCATTGTGCTAACATGATGGCTCGGTGCATCTGCGAGGGGTGCTGCAGGCAGCGGAGCCTCCATCGGGACCCCCGGACTAGCCGGGGAGGTCTCCGCTGCAAAGCTGGGGTCTCCCAGAGCCTTATTTTGCTCCGACATGTTCCTTGTGTCTGACCAGGGTAGGGCCTGAACGTCAGGAGATCTTTCTGTCCAGGCGCCCTCCGAGGTCTCCAGGACAGGAAGTGAGAGCTGCAGCGCTGTGCCTTCCGTTCTGCAGGGGCGGGATGGGAGTGCGCCTGCGCGGCCGGGGCTGCAGGGCGGGACCCTCGGCAAGGCCCCCTAACTCAATGTGCTGGGAGGGGTTTGCATAGCAACGTGGCAGGCTCACGGTGATGTCAGCACAGGAGACCAATAGCAGCACTAGGCTAAGGAGGTCTAAGGCGAAAGAAAAGTGTCTGAGGTCAAATTTCTTAGGAAATGTTCAACTAGAAAAGATGTTTAACCCCAATTGCACCAGAGCCACGTCCCTATAGAGAAAAGTCTAGGCTTCTGTGTAAACTTGGGCACTCAGAGTTGTGGGAAGAATGGCGTCCAACGGAGCCGTCATGATTGTCCAAGAAACTGTCAACTGTGAAGAGGATGTCTGAGATTGCCACCCTGAGAGACCATCAATAAAAAATTGATTCGAGGAACCCCCAAATCAATAGCTTCTTTTAAATATGCTTTGTCAAATCTGGCTGTTGTCTCTTGAAGCTCAACCGTTGGTTGGATATTGTCTTGATATTTCTTAATTTGGTTGTAGCTCTCCTTTCTTGTCATTTCGTTATTCTCAGGGCGAATCCTTCCTTTCTTTCAGCCTGTCTCACGCCTATCTTTGTGTTTTCACTCCTCTGCCTCCTTTAGCGGGAGCAGGGCCGCTCTTCATCTGGTCCTGTAAAAAGACTTCTTAGCCACCCACATCACGAAGATAATGTCTACGTATCATACAGATCTATTGTAGTTGGGTGTCCCCTATTTCTTTATTACTTTCTAATATATCTTACAGAAATATGCCCTTTGGTTTGTTGTTTTGTTTGTTTGTTTCCCAAAACGGCAGAGCAAGAAGAAAAATGAAGCACCGACCATTCCTCTTAGAACCCCTTCTACTCCTCATATGGGTTTGATAGTCTGCTGTAATGGACATACAAGTTTAGACATCTAGACACTGCTCACAGTAAGGGGATTTGTTAGAGAAGTTCCCAGGTTACAATTCAGGGTCAGAAAGGCTCAGGGCACAGCTGTTCCACTTCTCTGCTGATTAACAGCACTCCACCAGAAGGAGCTCTGGTAGCGTAGTGGTTACAAATTGGTCTGCTAACCTCAAGGTCAGCAGTTCGAATCCGCGGGAGAAAGATGAGGCTTTCTGCTCCCATAAAGATTAAAAGCTTTGGAAACCCTGTGTAGGGTCACTATGAGTTGGAACCGACTCCACAGGCACATAACAACAGCAACAACCGTTAAGTCTCATCTTGAAGGACACACCACTCCACCAGAAGCCTCATTTGAAGCAGGGGTGGGGAACATCCGGCCCACAGGCTGTCAAAATCATTTGGGCGGGTCCTGTCAAAGGCGACCACAGTTCCAGTTATCATATCGTTGCTGTTGTTAAGTGCCATCGAGTCCGTTCTGACTCATAGCCAGCAACCCTGTATAGGATTTCCAAAGAGTGGCTGGTGAGTTTCAACTGCCAGCCTTGTGGTTAAAATCGACCTTTACGTACAGTGTTTGTCCTACAGCACTGCACCAGGACTGCAGCCATCACATTGTTGTGAAGTGCCATTGAGTCGATTCTGACCCATAACGACTCTATATAGGGTTTCAGAGGAGAAGCAGCTGGTGAGCTTGAACCACCTACCCTGAAGTTCAGACGCCTTTGCAGTCTTGCATATTAACCCACAGCACCACACCAGAACTCCAGCCATCACATTGTTGTTAGGTGCCATTGAGTCGGTACCGACCCATAGCGATCTTATGCACAACAGAATGAAACACTGCCCGATCCTGGGCCAACCTCACTGTTGTTGCCACGCTTGAGCCCATTGATGCTGCCACTTTGCCAATCCATCTTGCTGGGGGTCTTCCTCTTTTTCTCTGATCCTCAACCTTACCAAACATGGGCGAGTTAATTCACTATTTCACCAAATATAGCAGGCTAATTTTTGAGTTAATTTTTGCCATGAATGATGTTATAAATTTTGGCAGAAAAAAAGGTTTCCATCCCTGTAGAAGGCACTCAGAGTCAGCAAACCTAACTCTCCCACTTAAGTGTCTGGAGGCAATCCACTCAACAAGTAATCGTCCTACCCACATCACTCAGGTCTACTTACTCAGAGGGCTGGGACTACGCTGCTCTGCCTCAGGCTCTAGCTCTTAGCTCTCCTGCTGCTGCCCCTTGGTCCCTCCTCAGATGTCACAGCTTTCTTTCCCTGGATCCAAGAGGTTCAACATGCAGGGAGCTCAGCCTTCTGACTCTTATTCTTTGATAGTAGTGAAATCCCCCCTCCTGCTTCTGAGATGGCTCATTCCAAGTTTTGACAAATTACAATGAACTGTGCTCACGAAGTCCACAGCTGAATCGTGTCATCTTATCAGGATCTTCTCCCACCTTCTCTAACCAAGACACAGCAGGGCAGAAATGTTGCTGGCTTGTTACAGACTATAGCTAGAAGAGACATTAGATAATTCACTACGCCACAGGCACTGGTATAGACTGATTACCCTGATACTTCTTAAAAAGGAAAGGATTGCTAGTAAGCTTTAGTCCAAATGAAATGTGTTTAAAGATGTTTCTGTGATCCTTGGATGACTTTGGATAAGTTGTCTCAGTGACATACTTGTCTTAGTCTCATTAAGGTGCCTTTAAGAGATAAATTCAGCTTCGTGCGGAGCCTTTGCAATACATAAAACTATAGGTAGAAACCGGAACCACATCCAGATCTCCAGAGATGAGAAATCTCCACTTGAAAGGATGAGCAGACCAGCCTGGAGCGGCTAGAAGAATAAAGGATACCTCTTAAAAGAAAAACCTGCAGGAAAAATGGAGGCAGATGAGCTGTTACTACAAGAACAAACTAATCGCTTCCCTAGAAAACATCAAGGCAAGTGGCCAATGCATGCTCTGATTGGTGACCACACACATCACCGATGGGGGGAAGTGGGGTAAAAGCAGCAATGAAGCGGCAAGCTAAGCCCTACAATGCTCAGTGGACTTCTGTGGACCCAGTTGGGGACCTGGCTGAAAAGCAGTGTGAAGAGACCTGG